AGAATATTTACTATGTGGTAGATACTATTATAGACACTTTATAAACTAACTCATTTGGATCCATTAGCCTTAAGAGATAGTTACTGTTATCAGCCCCGTTTTACAAAGAACAGGCACAGGGGTCATTAGCTTGCCCCTAATGGGTGCATAGGTAGTAAGTGGCAGAGCCAGAATTTAAAGCCAGGCACCCTGGCTCCCGAGTCCATGCTTTTAACCACCACTTATGCTTTTTCTAAAATAACTTTATATATTCCCAATAAGTTGCTTTAGATACTTTTTTAGACTTAAGCAGAATCTTTTTAAATTGTATGTATTCTGGGTTATTTTTCCCAATTCATTCATTCAATAGCTACTTACTAAGAGCCTCCTATGTCTTGGGCACAGAGGAAAAGACAAATGAATAAAACAATGAGCCTCCCCCTAAAGAGTTCACAGTTTAGTGACAAGAGACAGACATGTAAATAGATAAGGACAAAATAATACAATAAATTCGTTCAAGCAAAACCATCTCTTATTCCCTATCAATGAGTTCATGATTTAGAAGGAAAGACAAGTGCTTACACAAATAATTGTGATACTTTAAATGCTACAGTAGAAGCACCTAACTGGTGTTAAGAGACACAGAATAAGGAATATTTGCAGGAACTGGGGTTCGGGGGAGACATTGAAGGGTTTGAAGAAGGAGAGTAACCTAGTAACCTGTGGAGTTTTGTACTTTAGAAAGATTATTCTGGAAAGCAGGGAGGAGAGTAAGCCTGCAAAGTGGTAAGGCTAGAGGCCAAGAATCTGTTAGGAGATGACTTAAAGTGCAGAGATGATGAGGGTTTGAATTAACGCAATGGCAGCAAAGATTATTAGAAGAAGGAGGGAGGTTTGGAGTGGTATTAGAAGGCATTACGGCCAGCGACCCAGGATATGCCACGGGCCTCCTGCAAGGAATAATAATAGCAATAGAGACCAATGAGAAGTGAGAAATGATGGCTGTGTCAATACTCGGCAGAGGAACGGCCGTGGGAAGTAATCCAAGTTTGTGTCCTGGTGCCCTTCTAAGGAACTCAGACATTAACTGGGGGCAACTAGAATTTGAACACAGTGTTTCAAGTGTACGATCAGATAACACTAGAAAGTAACACTGCTAGAAAGATGGAAGCTAGACCAGAGTGGGGAGAAAGCAGAGACTGAGAAAAGGGATAGCATTGTGGTATATGCAAATGAAAATTTTAATTTTCAGTTTTTATTTCATAAAGAGACAATTTACCTAAAGGAAACATTTCTTTTTTTATAATAAACTACTGTTCCTAAAAGTTGAATTGTCACCAATAATTATAGCCAGCAATAGCTTACTAAGTGAAGGTGCTGTTCTCAATTCTTTATATATAGTGCCTCATGTAATCCTCAAGTGTTATTATTAATTCAGTTTATTGTTAACTGACACCCAGAGAGGTTAAGTGACTTGCCCAGGGTCACTTTACCAGTAACTGATAAAGGTAGAATTTGAATCCAGACATTGTGATGCCAGACCCTGAGCTCATGGTCACTATATCACTACAGCATGTTTAGTAAATCCAAACATTCAGAAATTATTTTTACTACATTGTGGTTTAGAGCACGCAGAGGTTCTGGAACCAGACTGCATAGGTTCAAATCCTCATTCCACCACTTAACAGCTGTGAGAAGTTAGGCAAGTTACTTCCCCACTTTGCACCTGTTTCCCCATCTGTAAGTGGGGATAATAATAGTGCTTGTCTCCTAGGGCATTGCTGAGGACTAAATGAGTAAATGCAGAAAAAGGGTTTAGAATAGTGGCCAGAACATATTACACATCCAATAAAATCTACCTATTATCAACATTATTCTTCTAGCCTATTATTCTATCTGCTAAGAAATGCTGGATATACTTGCACAGCCCCAGTTAAGATCTGTGGTAGGCAGAATAACGGCCCCTAAAAAGGTCCATGCCCGGGAACCTGTGAATATGTTACTTCTCCATGGAAAAAGGGACTTGGCAGATGTGATGAGGTTCTGGCCCTTGAGATGGAGAGATTATCCTGGATTATGTAGGTAGGCCCAACCTAATCAGATTCCTAAAAGACTGCAATTAGGGAGATGAAAAAAGAGAAGAAAAAGTAACGGGAATCAGAAGGATGAGGGAGTCTCAACCCACCACTGCTGACTCTGAAGATGGAGAAAAATGCCCACAACCAAGGAAAGTAGATGGCTTCTAGGAGCTGGAAACATCCCTCAACTGACAGCCAGAAAGGAACCAGGGACCTCAATACTATCACGGCGAGGAACTGAATTCAGTCAACAACCTGCATGAACAAAAAAAACACCCAGATTTGTCCCTAGACCCTCTAGAAAGGAACACAGACTTGTGGACACCCGGATTTTAGCCCAGTGACACCAGAGTTGGATTTCTGACTACAGAACTGTGAGATAATACATTGGTGTCATTTTGAGCTGCAAATTTTGTGGTAATTTGTTACAGCAGCAGTAGTAAACCAACATAAGATCTATGTTTAACTTTTTCCTAAAAGACTCAAACATATTGATTTAAGAACTATGTAATATGCTAAAATAAATTTAACTTTTTAAAGTCAGCAATTTCAAACTATGTTAGGGGCATAAATCAATGTTTCCTTTACATTTCTATTATTAAATTCTTTAGAACCTAAAAGTTGCTGAAAGGCTAAAAGAGGGTATCATAAATAAGATGCTATTACAGTTTTTTTCATCTTTTCTTTATAAGGTAAAGAAATACTCAAATTTATTTTTTTCTTCTTTAATTTCTCATGATTAATGGATGAATTAAGTATACTTTGATTTTTTACTAATATACTTTAAGCCCACAGCCAAGTCTTAATAAGACTTCGTTAACGTGTCAGCAGCAATATATAAATTCTAGGTTTAAAACAATTAATGTGTTGAATTTACAGAAGTAAAGCACTTACTCAAAGGCAAAATACAGTATACTTTGGTTATTATCTACTTTTTCACTATCTCTGAATTGATACTCATTAGCTCCAAGAGAGTAAGAGCCATGTCTGGGTTATTCACCTTTATATCAACACTGCCCAGCAATACTCCTGGCCCCCAGCAGGCTTTTGTTCAACAAATGAATGAAAAATAAATATATTTTTAAAGCAAGTACAAAAAACTGGAAACGAAGCTTCCCTGAAACCTAGCTTACTAGCTCACCGGAAAACTGAAGAGATGTACTGTATCTAGAGGTTAAATGATAAAAGCCAGAACTTCAACATTCTCAGCAGAAATCTTAAATGTTCTTTATGTTTCCTCACATTCTTTATCAGATTTATTAAACAATTCAAATTTCTTGATAGCCTAGTATCTTTATTATCAACAGATATTGTGATGTTCATGTGACATACATAAGGCTCCATGAATTAGAACTTGCTTTCTGAAAATGTCCTCTATGCTTGTTAGTACTTTTTCCACCTTCCATAAAAATTAAGTGAAGCCCAGTGCACCTGTAGGACCACCTGAGAAGTGCAACATGGTTGCATTCCTTCACAACTGAAATCCAAGACTGGGTCTTCTTCAAAGAGATTCTCTTGCCCTCTAGAACAGCACTCTCCGACATAAATATAATAACACAAGCCACCTATGTAATCCTAAATTTCCCAAAACATTGTCATTTCAACGTGTGATCAATATAAAATGAAATCGTTTACATTCTTTTCTTTTCACACTATATCTTAGAAATCCAGTGCGCATTTTACAGTGGAGCAGACCTCAAGTCGGCCTGCCCACATCTCAGGTGGCTAGTGCTACTATGTGTTGGCCAACCCAGGCTCTAGAAAAACCTGCCCCCCTGTGCCGGAGTGAACTGCATACCCTGTCAACTTACAGCTCTGACTCTATCTCATTTGCACTGTTGGCTAACGCTGTGGGCAAGACTTGCAGGAATTCAAGAAACCATCCTCCTCCTCCTCCTCGGGCCAAGATCTCCTTAATGTATGCAAGACAACAAAATTCCAGGTGTAGGTGAGGTCAAATTGTACACCTTTAACGTAAAAACGAATTCGAACAGTATTAGAGTTCATTAATAAGTGTTCTTTTATCTTGTCCATACTGTTTCATATTCTGAGCAACAACTCTGTTCCACAGGACAATTAGGGGGAAAAAAAAAAAAGCTTTCCCGTAACGCTGGGTCTACAGGCTCAGCTCCTGGACGTCGGTCTGCCAGCACAGCTGCGGGAGGACCCAGTGCCCCGGGGAGCAGGGCGTGAGGCCAGAACGGAGCCGTTCCCGGGACCCACTGTGTGCAGGAAGCTTCACCCCCCGACTCCACTGCAGCCTCAGACCCGCCCGCCAGCACACTGCCACCCACACCCTAGTGGCGAGTCTCCACGGGGCTGCACTGAACTACCTGGTGAATGCTCCCGAACCCCCTCCCTCGGGCCCTGTCCTAGGGCTGGGCGCCCCGGCCGTCAGCGTGCCCACGAGGCGGCCACGGGCGCCCCC